ACTCTATCAAATAAATTCAGTAATATAATAATTATATTATGCATTTTAAAATGAGAGTCTTAGATCTTAAAAAGGTTTTAATGAAAAAATGTCATGCAAATGAATAAGTCACTTAAAAATCATAAACTGAAGGTACTGAAAATATTTAGTTCAATAATTATTTCTTATAATATGCATAGAATATTACTCTAACATGCTAAATATGATCTACAAAGTAATGTAGGAAACAATGAAAGTATTTCTGCTCAAATTAATAACAAGTGTCATAACCACTTTCCCAACATCCACAATTTAAAAGTGAGGTTCATTTTGTCTCATGGTTTCCATCCATGGTCTGCTGGTTCCAACGTGGAAACAGAATGGCAAAGGAACGTGGAAGAGAAAAAAATGCTCAACTCAGGTAGTCAGGATAGATAGATGGATGGATAGATAGAGAGGAGGTGGACAGATGAGAGAGAGAGAGAGAGAGAGAGAGAGAGAGAGAGAGAGAGAGAGAGAGAGGGAGAGAGAGAGATAGGCCAGGGAGGAGCACGAACAACAATATCCACTTTGAGGTCATTCCCCTGTATCCCACCTCCAGCCAGCCTCGCTTCCTAACAGCACATTCATTGATCCTCTGCTGCGTATAGAAACCTCACAGTCTAATCACCTTCACACACATGAGAATTTGCAGGAACATTTTAGATCTGAACCATAACACATGTCAAGAAAAAAAAACTAATTTACTTAATTTTCTTTCTTATACTTTTGGGCAATACCTAGGACATAATCTTCAAAAAAAGAAAGCCAAATTATAATTATTTTAGAATATGCTTCTATATCCTAAAAGCTAGAGAGATTTACTTTAAGATGGGAAACGTTCTTGTACTGGGTTATGTGGTATCCTCCCTTATGTCCACATGGATTGTGTAGTGTTCCCCAAAACTCATGTCCATGTAGAACCTCAGAAATAAGACCTTCTCAGAAATAAGACCTTCTCAGAAATAAGGTCTTTCTAGTTATAATCAAGTTAAAATAGGATCAGAGTGGATCAAAGTAAGCCTTAAATCCATTGGTTGGTGTAAGATTCAAACATAGACTGGACTGATGACTCAGTCTAAATGTGCTAAGATGACCAGTAACTGCTAACAGCCGTGAAAACGCAAGGAAGGGTTGTTCCCTAGGTATCATAGAGCTCTCCCAACACCCTGACTTCAGATTTCCAGCCTGCAATGAGGTAATAAATTTCTACTGTCAGTTCCCAAACTTTGTGTTTCTTTTTTTTTTTTTTTTTTTTTTTCCAGCCTGAGGAAACAAATCATTTCTCAGTCATACAGCTAAGAAAATGCCCTATGGAAAAGTGGAAACCAGCTTCTCTAATCATACTTTTTGCTTGGTTGTTTTAATACCAGGATTTGCAAATCTTGTGTATTATTTGTATGGTATTCTACAAGAAGTTATTAGTTCTGCAAAAAAACTTTTTCCTAAATAACTTATATAGTTTGAGAATATACTTTGTTATCTGAAGAAGTCTTTGTGGAAATTTAGAAGCTTACTGTACTAGTACGTCTTTAAAATTATCTCCCAAAAAGGATGTAATTTTAGGGTCTGTCTTATTCATTTGATTGCACAATGTTCTTTCTTTGAATGACAAATTGACACCCATAGAAATTACTATTCAATTGCACGGTAAAAGAAGGGAAACCTACATCATGCAACTTCAGGAATAAGCAAAATTGGATGATTGCTATCTTACTGTAGCTGCCACAGAAAGGAATCTCCTATCACATTTCCTTGTGGACAGGGCACTTTTCAACTCATTTTATTATAGCAGTAACTCCTCAGCCATTTTGCGGTGAAGTAATATTATAGGGTCTTGGTTATACCATTCTTCAGCTCATATCTCTGATACTTAAAATCCAATATAAAAAAGTTATCTCTGAATTTCAGCGTTCTCATCAGCCAAAATAAGAATATTAAAAGATGTAGAGGTGATCTGAAGATAAAGTAAAATCACACATAGAAAGAAGATGCTCTGATCCGAAACACATAATGTTTAATACACATTATCCCCTTTCCAGTTCCTGCTTTCCTCAATTGCTTTATTTATAGAATTTGCTTATAAATTTATATTAAATAAGTGAAAAGAATAGTGAAATCCTAATTTTAGGAATTTGATTTTAGGATCTTATAAAGAAATAGATTGTGTTCTTTCAAAATTATGCCATTTAAGGTGAAACATACTTTGTGCTTACAAAGTTATTTATCACTACCTAAATGATAGTGTGTGGAAAGGAGGAACTGGATGGACAGAGGATGTAGCCTTAGACAAAGGCGATCATCTTCATAGTTTATGGTGTGCCTTTCTTGTGCTGGCATTAATTGTGCCATAGAATGCTAATAGGAACCTGCTCACAGAAATATGTGCTACATTTCTGCCTCGGCATCTATGAGAAATAATGAAATACGAAATTAGAAGTTATCCCCTTTCCCTAAGTGATGGGAAATTCACATCGCCTATGCTTACTTGTTTTCTTTTCCTACTGATTCATCAGAATTAAAGCTTCTAAGAAAATGTATCTCTGAAACCACAGTAAAGATTAGAAGAAAACATGTGATTTGCACTGTGCAGATTCATGCAGTAATGTTGATATGATTTCTTTTCAGACAAATCTGTTTTCAGCACTGCCCAATATTTCTTTGTATGAATGGCTTTGCTTGAGGTTAGTCTGTATGGTAATTGGGCTATTATGAGCAGCTAAATTGTCTAAACTGAGGACTGTAAACTATTTTGTGAGTTTTAGTAAAATATTTCAGTAAGAAACTGAACGAGGAAAAAAGATCTGAAATGTACATTAGATGTGAATTGGAAGAAACTGTTCAAAAGAAAAGACAAACTGTGAAGGGGGAAAGGGGAAAAGAAGAAAGGAAAAAGAAAAATATGTGTACACAACATAGTGAAGATAGTTGTACAGCTAGTTTCTCTTAGTTCACTGAAAAGAAAGTTTTGTGCTAATTTTTTTTATTTTAAAGATAAAAGAACAAATCATATTAACAAACAAATAGACGTGAGCAAAATATTGTTTGTACAAGATATCATGCCTATATCTTGTACTCTGAATAGCTACTAGGAAGAGAACAATACACAATGTATCAACTATTGTAGCTGACCTACTAACCTGTTTTGAAAGTAGGTTTCATTATTATGTGTATCTTTTTTCTTTTTAAAAATAAAAAGAAAAAAATTTTTAAAAATAAGCGAAAATAATTTCAAATTTTAAACTAAGGTCCTCAGTTTTCCCAGTTTTCTGAGTTACTTAGCTTTAGTGTTCTGATCTAAAATAGGCTGCATTTTAACCTATTTCAGGAAAGAAAGAAATCAGTCTCAAATGTAATTTTAAAAATTAATTAGCAGTTGGATAGAAAATGCCATCCTTTTGATTTGATGATGGAAATGATGACAGAAAAATTTTCTGTATTTTTGAAAACCCTTGAAATTAGTTAAAGTAAATAATTTTCTAAGGCATATTAGTCCAGATACTTTTTTAAATTTAAAAAGATTTAAAAATTCCTTAAAAAGCTAAAAATAATCATTTAAGCTGTCTGTGCATTTTTCTGACAAGGATAGTAGTGAGAAGTGTAATACAATTAGCTTTAATTTTGCTAGTTTTAAATACCCCCAAATGAGCCTCGCAGTTTTTCATAATTTTCACCTTATTAACTTCAGTGAACATAGAGTGCAGTTTTTGTTTTCAAACATTTTATGTGATTTATGCTGAGTATATTCATAAAGCCACAGCAATTTCAATTATATATGCGCTAGAATTTGAAAATTCTTTGTGTAGCGTGTGATGGAATAAATTCTTTGTGCTGAAAGTTTTGAGGATTCCGGAGGATATTCCTTTATTTTCCTGTGACCACTCTGCTGGAGAGTGACCCCTTAGTGTTTTGATGACAAAATCATTCTTATTCTCATTTATATAAAATTGCTTTAAAGATCGGAGCACTTTTTCAGATGAGCTTTCCTGAAGCGAAAAATCTTTTCTGCTCGCTTATTGACATGTGGAATTGATTCCTCTCAAGTATTTTTAGTTCTTGGACACCATATCACATATAATTATGATTTTATGGATTTTTAACTCATTTATAATCAGGCAAACATTAACGAGTATAAATTCTGAACATGTGACTACCTGTTATCAAATTATTCTCTAGTTCTACATAGTGTAACATAGACATACTTAAAGTTACGGATTAAAGATTTCATGCACATATAATTTTATAAGATTCAGCCTTTATACTACAACCCTCATCAATTTTATAACATCCACACTTGCATTGTTAGCCTAATAGTTAACTGCAGCCGTTTAAAGAAATGCTAATTGTTCCTACCATGCAGGAAATGGAAGAAAAAGCAACTCGAGCAATGTGAATAATAAAATACCCAAAGGAACACCTGGGAGATAATTTGGCATGCTACACAACTTAACAAATTTAATTTCTGCAACTTATTACAGTAAATTAATTCATACTATTATATCTTTACAATACTTTTCCATCTCACAATTTTCCCATCCCTAAACTGTGAAGCTGTTGTAAAATAATAATTAAAATAATTAACTATAACTTTTGGTAGGCAACATTTCCCAAGATAAACACTATTGCAGAATAATAAACTTCTTAAAAACCAAGTCCTGAGAAGCAGTGATAGAAAAGAGAAGTAATAACTTATAATGGCTAAATCAGTATCTGGGGGCAGAAATGTGTGTAACTCTAAGGTTTTTTTATTTTTAAGTAATTTTCAGATTGAGACCAGAATGTTGGAGAAATGAACTTATACATGCCATTAAAATATCTGTGTAGAACAAACCAAAATACTTTCAATAAATGTTGCTGTCAGGGCAGCATTGTAAGGTTTTGTATATAGCATGTTATAGCAAGATCACTGTGATTTGGAATGGGATACCTTAAAGATAACAGATTTCCCTTTTTTCTAACATATGATTGGAAATACTTTCCAGATGCCTTCAATGGACGCTGTGATTTTGAATTTGACCTTTGTGCGTGGGAGCAGGAGCTGGATGATGATTTAGACTGGAATCTTAAAGTCAGCAGCATCTCCGAGGCCAGCACGGAACCAGCTGCAGACCATACTTTGGGAAATTCATCCGGTCATTACATCTTGATAAAGAGCTTTTATCCACAGCAACCTATGAAAACAGCCAGAATATCAAGTCCCGTGATAAATAAGAGAAGTAAAAACTGCAAGGTATGGGGGAAAAAGAAACAAAACCCACAAGTATTTTGACAACTGTTGATAAAGTCAAAAATGCAAAATAAAGTGATGGGGGTCAGAGCAAATATGAGTTTGAATTTATTCATTTTAGGATGGGTGAGGGAGCATAGAGGAAGTAAGAATGAACAGGGAGGATCATTAGAATGACTGAAATTATTGAAATTTTGGAAAACTTCATAGTTAATTTATTTATAACTGTGGATAACATACACAAAAAGGAAAATACTAGTTGGTTCCCTTCAATGATTCAGTACTTACTGTATTTAATTATATTACCACCGCAACAAAATATTAAGCACTAGGCAGTATAATAATAACATATCTCTAATAATCAATATTACAGATAGAGCAGCAGTAAAAGGGGTGGAGAAGTCTACAAGAAAAAGGAAAGAATAAATGTGACCATAAAAATAAAAGAATTTCTATAGGGAAGAAAAAAACTTGACTTGGTCTCTAGCTTGTGAAAATTTGAAGGAAGTGTTTGTGAAATGTTAAAATTATAAATAGGGCTTTTTGGCCTAACAGACTCACATGATGACTATTTTCAGGGTTTTTTTTTTTTTTTTTTTTTTACATTATCATTTGCTTGGCTGTTTGTTTAGATTCCATAAAAGGTTTGAGCTAGCTAAATTAGGATCTAAATTTACCTTTACATATAATGTAAATTAAGTACTTGGAGAAGACATCACAGGAAACTTGCTTGTCAGAGACTGGTACATAAATAAACTTGCTATGCTTATATTTACGATGAGAAATGCAATCTCTACACTCGTCACATGTATTCTGACTTGAGTATTCCTTAACATATGAACCACAAAAAGAAAGTCAATTACATTTAGCAAGTTTTTAGCTGACCAAATCAGGCTCACAGAAAATTACATAACTTTAGCTTTTATTATCTTCAAGTAATACTGTCCTGGCATATCTGGGGCTATTTTAAGTCTTAATGGGTGTGAAACCTTTAGCTTATCTTGGGAGTGTTTCTGTCTTGTCTTGAGCTGATTTTTAAAACTCTCACAGAGCAAAATCCCACAAGGGGCATAATCATTGAGGATAAAGAGAGGAAACTGTCTGCAGTCCAGGATGGAAGCAATCGATCATGGAGTAACAATAAACTTTAATTGAGTTGTCAAAAATTGAGTCTTAATCAAATATAATCTTCATATGTCTTATTATCTTTCAAATTACTGGATACTCTATCTCTATTAATCTAGGTTTATATATCTTTAGGAATTTTGAAAATTGTAAATTAGTTTTAGTTAGAAATCTGACTAATCATTAAATATGAAATACATAAAATTCTACTTGGACTTCTAAACCTCTCTGTGTAGATACTTCTGCGCATGTTCCAAAGATGATTTTTCATGCTATAGTAACTAAAGATTTCATCCATCTCCATTTCCCCTGCCCCAAAAGTATAGTCCTCACTATTTTAAGCATCTGCAGGAGAATAATGAAATACACTTGGGCTATGAAAAAATTAATGATGAATGGTTCTTTTTATAAATATTTATGGTATAGATTAAATATGGAAAGATAAGGAAAGGTCATGTTAAGAACTACTGGATCTCTCCTGTACAAATCATGAGGATTAAATAAGCAGAAGGACCTCACAATTTTTTAACAGAATCACTTTTGACCTTTCACTTCGTTGAACACCATTAAGCGTAGAAAATTAACACCCTCTACTTTTCAAGGGTAAGTGAGTGGGGCAATGCAGACAGAGATGGATTGGATGAAGTATCTGAAGAAGGAGAATGTCCGGTAAAAGCAGGGACTCTCTTCCAGAGAAAAATAACATGTAGCAGACTTTTATGCACCCTTGCTGCTATGTGATTGGGTTATGTTGTCATCGAGTGTTCTAGAAATTGACATGTGGGTTTCATTTGCATATTAACCTGAAGTCATCATTCATAAAATGAGTTTCAGAAGTGTCCCTTGAGATATAAAACATACGCCTCGCATCCGTTGCACAAATAGGACAAGTGCAAAGCAGAACACTGCTAATCACATCAGTGGCTGAATGCAACACAGAGAGAAGGGTGCCACCCATCCGGGCCTGCATAACTGCTGCCCACAGGTGGCCCCAGCACTTTTTCATTTCTCATTTGAGTATTGCTTGGGGTTTTTCAGCAATCTCAGGACAAGCAGGTGTAGTGTTCTTGTTGGAAAGTCGATCAAAAGAAACTGTATTTTGGAATCATAGAATGATACTTGGAATGATACTTTGAGTGGATACTTTACATGTTTCACCTATTTTTAGTCCCTGCTGTTTTCACATAATGGTCTGCATATACTGTTTAATGACACTCTTTATATTTTAAACATTCATTTTCCTTTTCTCAAGCGTGTGGCATACATGTCTGCTGATATTTTAATAATGTATTTTGTATGTGAAGATCACTGCTTTCTCTCATTTGCCCAAATGATAAGACAAAAACTTTACAAAGCTCTGAATCCCTATTGTTCCTAACTGCTTCTGTTATTTCTACCAGAATTTCCCGACTTTTTCCTGCAGTGTAAGAATAATGAAAACGGGGCTGGGGATTTAGCTCAGCGGCAAAGCGCCTGCCTGGCAAGCGCAAGGTCGTGAGTTCGGTTCCCGGTACCGGAGAAAAACCAAAACCAAAAAAAAAAAAAAAAAAAAAGAATAATGAAAAGTCTAGTAAACTTCTTGAATATGTTAAAAGGTTAATTCCTGCAAACTTTTTAATGAATTTTTACATAGGGAAAAATTCCCAAGGGTGTTCTTGTAGGGCTCATTTCTAGTATTTCAAGTAAAATTTTGATAACTTCGGTTCTGCTCGCCTAGATATAGTGGAACTCTGAGAATCTGGTAGAACCAAAATGTTTCTACAAGAATGTCATCACACAAATAAAGAAGTTTTCTATAATTTTAAGAAAATGATTGTATTGTCTCTTATGGTAATTTACACACTGTCACCATAATGACATTCATCCATTCGTGAAAGTGGGATCCTCCTGATCTAATTGATTCTGAAATGTCCCTTCTCTCCACACTGTTGCATTGGCATTAAATCCACCACACCTGTATTTTGTGGGACATGTTCAAATCAGAGCTTCAAGGAATCTTGCTTTTAGGTGTCACAGAAAGAAGTGACCTCAGTTTCCTTTTGTTAAATTTTTATTCAAACCTTACTGCACTGTGTTCCATACAATATAAAATGTGATTCAAGGCTGACTTAACTTCACACAGTGTCAGTGTAATCACAGAGCAATAGAATATACTGGAAAGTCTTAATTTTCCTTCCACATCTGTTAATAAAGTTGAGAACATTGTGGTATAATTAAAACAACGTGGAGTTAATTGTGCTCATCACATGCAATTCCTCTGCTTGGTTGCAGGTCATTTTTCACTATCACATGTATGGAAATAGCACGGTAGTACTCACATTGTTCCAGGTGTCAGTCACAAACCGCGTGAAGGTCCTACTTAACCTCACTGAAGAACAAGGCAATTTCTGGAGGAGAGAAGAATTATCTCTGTTCGGTGATGAGGACTTTCAACTCAAATTTGAAGGCAGAGTCGGGAAAGGCCACCGTGGTCATATCGCACTTGATGACATTCTGCTTACGAGGAATTGTCTGCTATTCTACAGCTCCACGAAGGAAGAGCCAGCTGCTCCTCTTCCAACAGGTATGTCTGAATTTGTGTTTGCTCGGTGTGTTTGTAGTGTGAGCAATGGAAATTACAGAAACGGAGGGGGGGGGGAAATAACGTAAATGCCTAAGAATTCATTGCTTTAACAAGAACAGAAACGTTCTGCACCCAAAAGAAAATGGTTTTCCCAGCCTTTGTTCATAAAAAGTGTCTTCCAAATTTTCTACAAAGTGTATTATACTTATCAGTTTCTAACCTACATGTGTGCTCAGTTTCCTCATAGATAAAATAAGACTCATGTGTTTGCAATTTGATTCAGAACTGAGACAGTTTCCGTATCTATAAAGCAGAGAGGATACTGTTTCTGTTTGTATAACGCAGCTATTTCTTAGCTTTGGAGGCTCTTAAGAATGACAATAAGCACTTATGTATTTAAGTAGCTTAATCTAACGTCGGGTACATAGTAGGCATTCATTTAATAAAAATAAGCATCTTATATATTCCCATACTTCTGGCATCTTTATCAGTATTCTGTAGGTGATAGGAGCATTTAAGGCTAAGTCTCCATTATTAGTATTTATTAAGAATATGTTGATATCACTTGTTTTGGCAATGTTACTTTCTTTTAAAAGTTCACAGGCATACAATTATTTAATTTTACATTTTTAACTTTATTGTTTATTGAAAAGCTCTCTTTTTGGTGTCTAATGAATAATGTCCATGCCTACATCTTAGAAATGTTTAAGGATTCTTAATATCTCAATAATGTGAAAACACTTAACTTGGAATATTATCAGACTGAATAAGGGTAAATGGTATTACGTTCCACAATCCATGTCAACTTCCATTAAACTTTTGAAAATGATTGTATTTCACTCAGATTTTTCATCTATATTCGTAAGCATAGCTTAACCACTCTATCAAGGATAGCTTAAAATAGAAAAGATAAGATGAGGCAAGACATATGTATTTAGGGACATGCATCTGAACTGAATCTGGAATTAGTCATTCTAATTAATCAAAATAGACTCAAGGCTTTGTCACCAAAAGTAAAATGAAGTTATTATTGAGTCCCAAGATGTCATATTTAAGAACTTACTCTGATGGCACTTTTGTTAATTGCTAAATTATGAAGGATAAGAATAATTGTATAATTAATTTGAATGAAAATCATAACCAGGACTCCTCATCTAAATGCCCATATGCAGATTCAGTCACTCTTATTTTCTTTGCTTATTGACTGATATTTATAAATTCTAAGTAAAATGGGGGCAGAAGTCAAATTTTGGGTATATGTAATTACTGTATTTATTTGTGTGTTATATTGTGTATTATGTATTTGTGTCCAATCTTCAGGTTCCTTCTAAATGGGAGTTATACAATAAATCTCTTTTAAAATAGAATATGGCAATCACATTTATTTAAAAGAACAAAATATTATGTAAAGCAAGAAGGACTGCATGGATTAGTTCTTCTTTCAGGTCATTCACTCCCTAAAATATTTTGGCAATGGTTTAAAGATCTGTTGATGAAAATGTTGCCTAGAAATTCTGAGTCTTGATTGTTTGTGGCTTGATAATCTAGCAGCTGTTGTAGTGATGTTTTGTGTAAAGTGCATGAATCAGGAGATTTAAATAGATGAACTTGAAGCTTGGTACTGGTTACTAGCTTGTGATTCCTCTCACTTACTTCTCATAATTCTTATCTTCTGTAAACATGGGACTATTGGAATCCAGTTGAGTGGTGCAAAAATAATCAAGGTAATACAAAGTAGGTTTTAAACAATACTTAGTACATAGTTAGCCCTGTGTTACTTTCTTTTTTAATCCTGCCTCTCCTTTTCTCTGCTAGTGAAATTATGAAATCAAGCAATTATTTTTATCATTTGTCATTTAACAAAATTGCCACCCAAATAAATTTGTTAAAATCCTATACTGCAGTTTACTAGCTGCTCTTCCTTCCTCATGTCCCATTCGTTACTCAGTCATTTGGATCCCTTGTGCCCTTCTGTTCTCTTCAAAGAGCTTGCTTTCACAAAAGCCCCAAAACGTGTGTTTTCCAAGTATGGCGATTTAATTTCTTATTCATAATAAAGATGGAGAAGAATGAGCAGTCACAATATAAATCCATAGGTAGATGGACATGACAGACACTGCTGACTAAGGAGACAAAGATAAGATTGAAGGGACTGAAAGTTTTAACCCTGGAAACCCCTGTAAAACATCACTAAATAGAGAACTTGGTGACTTGACTAATATGTAAATAGGGAAGAAAAAAGAAGTTCATATATATATATATATATATATATATATATATATATATACACACTACATAATGATTTCCATTGATATCTTCCCAATAGAATAATTCTTGATTGTTTTATAAATCATACTTCATCAACTTCATAAAATGACTATGTCTCACTTTTCTGGGATGTTTTGGCTAATATTTATATTGGAAAAATATATTTATATTGGACAAACTCATTAGAGAATACTCTTTCTGTGATATATTGTATGATATATTGTATGAAAGAATTATCTTAGGTTCCATTGCAGATGTAGTTGCTGGGTAACGATGTTGTGAAACTTTCACAGGGGGACTACCCAGAGGATGTTTCTCGCAGATGCTGCAGTAGTAGTTTTCACGTTGTTTTGCAGCCGTGATCCAAAATTCAGAGTGAAAATATAGATCAGCTTGGAAATTGAAGAATTGGAATTTTTTATTACATAGACTTGCACTGAACACAGGAGAACACACATTTATCAGTTCAAAACAATTTGTAACTAGCCTATTTCCCTGCTTACCCTGGATAGTACAAAACAATTGAACTGGATGAAATTCAGTTCTTTACTGTTCACTTAGCATAAATTATTGTTTATTCTGGGAAATTGCTTGAGCAGCTGTTTGTGAAAAGACTTTAATTTTGGCATCTTTATTGCCTTTCCAAAGAAAGTTCATTTAAATATGTGCATGCGTTAGCTACTTTTTAAGTGTTTTCTATGGCTTAGACTGCATATATAAACACACTACTATTTTTTAAATGCCTTAGTAATTTAGGCTGTGTGCATAGTAGAATAAAGTATGGATGTAAAACTCCATTTTCCTCTAATACAGGTAACATTTTAATATTCTAGAAATTATATTATATAATCTTGCTAGCATATACAGGTAAGATTTCAATTTATATTAATGTGTTATAACCTATTTCAGATAAATTAAAACTTTCAATGCACTGTTCTTCTTGGTAAATGTCCACATTAAAGATTTGATGATTAGTACAAGCCTCAGTAGCACAGTTACTGTGGGCTGCTTTCTGCCAGCTATGCAAAATCTAGTTTATGTTTTCTGGATCTCTGTACAAAGTTTTAAGGCACGTATATGGTTTTATTGGATACCATATCTTATTTTAGAAATGATTGGAGGTAGCACTTAAAGAACATACCTATGTAGTTAAGTATATAGGCACATATGTATGTAAATTTGCATGTATGTACACATGATTTTCAACTGATGTATTATAGAACTCACTGTCTTAGGCAACACTTCCTGGTCCCCAGTTGCATGATCCAAGATGGTATCGTGAACTTCCTGGGGGGAAGATATAAGAAGGGTAAAGAAAATGACTAAGGAACAAAGCAGACATTTGTACCTCTAAGAAACATTTCTGGAGGCTGCCACAAGCACTTGGGATAAAATATTAGCCAGCACCTAGTCACAAGATCATACTAAAGATTTCCAGGGAAGGAACCCCAATCTGAAAATTGCACACTCAGCAAAAATTATAAAACGGAAGCGGAGGACAGATAAGGAGAACAAAGAGCAGTTCCTGCCACAGTATGGAAATAATATATCGTAGAATAAGAGCCATAAAGAAAAATGAATAACCTATAGCCCTACATGGCTTCTATAGTTAGACAGGACATTTGGCAATAAACTTCTTTTAGACTAGAGAGAAAAGAAAATTGTGATGAGATGCGACATTCACAGGCACTACGAACAGCCAGCTCAGTAGAAGTACAAGTTACCCTAGTTCAGGGTGATGCTATTTTCTGTTACACTTTCAACATTCTTAACCATGGACACAATGCCACCGATAAATTAGGGATGAATTTGTTACTCTGAACATTTTTCAAATGCCAAAGGAAAATATCAGATATACAAGGAACAGTACAAGAAATACTAGATTATTATTATTTCTGAATATTTTGTTTGCATCTCTTGTATGTCAAAAATAAATTAATAAACGATAAAAATACAGATGTAGTTTACTTTAAGCGGCTTTTAAATTATTCTATACAAGGCTTACCCACACCATGACACTACTGAAAACTGACAAGCATAAAATCTCAACCATAAAACCCCAATACTGTTTAATTCACAATTTTCTTCTCTTTTTCAACCTGATAATCATAAGAAATTCCATGATAAAGTAAATCCGACCCACAAATTTAAAAATAGATTTAGCTCTAATTGATATTTTTGGTGCTTGACTTCCACTAGACAGTATCAGAAAATATTTTTTATTTAGCTGTGGAATATGCATCGTTTTTCCCTCTAACTTCAAATTGTCAGAGGTTAGACATCGGATTTTATAACGTGTAAAGCTGCTTTTGAATCTTGACCTAGAACCATATTAACCATTAAGTAATAGGTATTGGGTTAATGCAGGAAAGCATTCATTTTGAATTTCCCAAAGACTTCCTGAAGGTAAAAGATTTCTTCATTGTAATTTATCACGTTCATGTTTCAATGGTGATTATCACAGTGAAATGAAATCTGTTGATGAAAGTGGACTTGCTTGGTTCAATGGTCTTTCCAAACCCCTTTGATGTCACTTCATTCAACAGATACGTTCAAGATTCAAATAGTATTTCTGTATCTACTGTGGAGTAAGCATATGTACACAGGCAACGGCATAAAACATGAGAATTCAAAGTGGTCTGGTATGGTTGAAAAAACTGAGACCCCGTCATTAGCAGATGTGGAGGCCAGCCCTTGCTCTGATATGTATCAGATTTTGACATGGCAAGTTC